GTGTATGTACAAGCAAGACAAGCAGCAGGTGGACATACATAGACAAACACGGACGTCTGGCTGGTGTGCTATACCTGTGTTTCATTGTTAGAAGAATCCAGAATGGTCTCTCTCTATTTACTCTGGTTCATATCACTTCTTTTTCTGGATGTTCTAAGGACAACTTTAAATGTTGCCATCCTAACCAGCAATATCGGGCTAACCAACTATAATGGAAGAAAGCAGAAGCACATTCATTATGGGTCTTCCAATAACACTGACCTAAGAACGTGATTTAATACCACAAGTACTTCTATTTGAACTTGAATTGTCTGACTTCAGTTGGAATTTTTCCTTTATCTTGTTATGTGGCTGCCTTTACTGTTCCAGGTGAGAATAGTCACCAAGCACTAGTACATGAGCAATAAGTGCACCAGAATGTAAACTGGAATAGTATTTTGATGTATCAATTGCTATATTTAGAAATGTAAAGTTTGTTCGCCATTGTAATGTTAGCTAATTCCGAAGCTATAATGCTATTGCTAGTAGTACATACGCTAGCAGCTATAGAATAAGTTGTTTTTGAAAATGTACATTTTGCTTGACTCTTTACATGATTCTGAGTAACTGTAGATATGTTGTAACACTTTAATAGAGGAGAGCTTCGGCGATGAGAAACAGGCTGATATAAGGCCTGATATGAGGCCGTTACAATTTGTGTGAGTGTGTGTGCAAGTAGAAATCATCTTTTCTTGTTACTGTGCTAATAACTGTTATTAGAATTTACGCTGCTGAAAAAACAGCACAAGCCTTCATGAATTCCACGCTGGTCTGGTGCTGGTTTAGTTGACCAGCATACCAGCATCCAAAACACAGCATGGTTTTGGTGGTAACCGGCTATGCTGGTCTATGCTGTTTTTTCTAGCAGCTATGCTGATTAGACTTACCTGGAGAGCGAGCTTATCATTGTTAATAACATTAGTATAGTATTAGTATATAGTATTAGTAGCAGTAGTAATCATGATAATTGTTATTATTATTGTTATTATCATTAGTAGTAGTAATATAAAAGTTGTGTACTGACAAAAAGCATCTGGTAAAATTTGGGTTTCCATCAGACACTGTATATATATCCTGTATCATTGACACTTGCCTAACAAATGCCATGCAACTGAGGTCAGCTCAGCAAAACTAGGCTTGCATAGTCTTATTCTTTATAATTGTGATGCATTAGTACTTCGTATTTTGCTGTTATTTAGACTGTCATACTGCTCTGGAGTTCTTCACTTCCCTCCAGTATATTCTTCCCCTCAGCAAGCTGTGGCACCTCAGGGGAAGCTCTGATTGAAATATCTGAGGCTAGCACAAAAATGGGGGGAAATGCTGTAAGTGAATGGCACTTGCCACCAGATTATGCCTCAGTTAAACATCTATCTCAGCACAAAAAGCATATCCAAGTTTTGATAAGCATATGTTACCTCACATAGAGTCAAGCCCCAGGTGGTATTTATGCTGATGTGACAGCAGGGGGTTCTTGCTGTCCTACTTTAACTTGCATCTTACAGCAGTTGAGAGGCTTGACCTGAGGGCTACATGCGTGTGTGACCAAAGAGATCAGTGACAAAATCAGAATCAATGTTAAAAATCAGTTTAACAGAACTGCTCTTGATTTATGTGAGGTGGATGCTAACGTGATTTCAGAGAGTGAGCTTTGTTCACTGATGTGTGCTCCACTCACCTGGCCTCAGAAGAGCTGCTGTGTGGCCCACCAGTGTGTAGTGGTGGAATGTGGTGTGCTTTTCCTCTTTCTCCTGAGAGCCCTGTGTCAGAGGCAGGTGTGAGCAGCCTGCCTGTTTGCCAATGTTTCCCCTCTGTTTCATCACCATTACTGCTAGCCTGCCCATCCTAAGTTATAATTACAGTTTACTAGTAGTAGGGATATTGCAAAAAGAAAAATAAATCCTGAAATTGTTTTTCTTTAATGCTTTTATGGAATGCACAGATTTTAGTAGAATGTATGTCTTCAAGAAGAAATATAGTAACTTTGCCCCATGAGATCCACTCATCTGATGTGAATTTGCCACTTTTGGGTACATTTGAAAGAAATTTTTTTTAATGTTGGTCTTCCCTTTATTTTAATATTGAGGAGTTCACCTCAACATTTTATTCCACCGGCCAAAATATCCTGGACATTGTTGCTTCATTTAAAATTATGCATTCTAAACCTAAATCTGAACCATGGCTGAATAACACTATTCATGCAGCTAGACAAGAATGCAGGAGAGCTGAATGCAAGTGGAAAAAAGATACGTTGCAAGTGTCTTTTAGTATTTTAAGGAACAGCTGGCATTAAAGCTAAAAATACAAAATATTTTTCTGATATTGTAAAAAATTGTCATAAGCCATAAAATTATCATCATTTTAGCACCGTTAATGCTGTTCTTAACATCGCTCAATCTGCTTGTTTTGATGTTTCCTCAGAAACCTGTGAAAAATGTCTACAGTTTTTGTGGACAAGACTGTTAATATCAGAGCTCTCATCTCACCCATTTATTATGACCCATCCATTACAGTCACTTGCTCTGCTTATTTAACCAGTTTGAGCCTGTGTCTCTTTCTCTTTTAAAGGAAAAAATCGGTCACATGAAATCTTCAGCTTGTCCCACAGATAAGACCCCTTCCCTCGCTTCCCTCCCTTTTTGCATAAATTTTTGAGACTAGGACTAAACATCCATGAAATTTTGAATGATAGTCTCACCTCAGGCATTATATCAGCACCAGTATCAATGCAGTAGTGCAACAAATGACCAAAAAGGCTAATCTGGACACCTCAGTCCTCTCTAATTTTAGACCAACTTCCATTTCTCTCAAAAATTTCGGAGTTGTACATATACAACTGCAATATTTTTTAGACCTGGTATTTTTGAGGTGTTCCAGTCTTGTTTTAAAGCCCTTCATAGCACTAAATCTGCACTTTTAAAAGTTTTTATTGATCTCTTATTAGATACTGACTCAGGGGATTCTGATATTCTTATGCTTTTAGACCTCACAGCTGCTTTCGACACAGCAGACCATAACATCCTCATCTCTCGCTTGGAGCACTGTGTCAGTATTACAGGTACTGCTTTGGAGTGGTTCCGATCTTACTTGCCTGATAGAAGTTTTTTTTGTCTGGCCCCCCAGGGCTCTGTCCTCGGGCCAATCTTATTTTTCCTACATATTCTCCCCTTAGGGTACATCCTTAGAAAATATGGCGTTTCCTTTCATTGTTATGCAGATGATACCCAAATTTACTTGCCCTTGAAACAGAAAGATACAGACACTTTAAAGCCTGGATGGCCCTGGATGGTGTCTTTGATACCACTCACATGGACCTATGTTCTCTGGATGCATATGTAAAAAATCTAGATGTGATAATGGACAATGATTTTAAATGATTAATTCTAGCTTTTTCCAACTGAGGCTCTTATCTAAAGGTAAGCCCTTTTAATCTTTCAATGATTTTGAAAGGGTTATACATGCTTTTATTTTATCCAGACATGATTACTGCAGTACCCTTTATGTTGTTGTTAATCAGGCCTGCCTTTCACGCTTACAGATGGTCCAGAACACTGCAGCTCATCTTTTAACAGGAACACATAAGTGTGAACATATTTGCCCTGTACTGGCCTCTCTTCATTGACTCCCTGTACATTTTAACATTGTTTTTAAGATTTTATTGTTTGCTAATAAATTGTTAAATGGGCTAGCTCCAACCTATCTTTCTGACCTATTACAACCATATGTTCCATCAAGGGCCCTTAGGTCCGCTGACCAGTTCCTTTTGACTGTCCCTAAATCAAGATTGAAGCACAGGGGAGATCATGCTTTTTTTGCTTGGCACAAAACAATTTCTGTTTTTAAATCCTGCCTCAAAACACATTTTTATTTTTTGGCTTTTGATTCAGTGTGAGAGCTGCTTATCCTACTTGTTGTTACAATCTTACTGTTTTATTTTATATTTATTGTCTTTTTTGTTATTCAAGCTGGTTCTGTGTTTTACTGCCTGTTTAATGAGTTTTGTGTATAGTACTTCAGTCAACAGCGGTTCTTTTTAAATGTGCTCTATAAATAAATTTGACATTGATGTTCTATGCCATATTGGTATCAGAAGTGGGATAGTGGGCAGAGCCCCAGCGTACACAAGCTGTGTTCGGGAAAGTGACACTGGTGTGGTGAGGGGTGGGTTGCTTGCTGCTGAGGAGCGAGTGCCCCACAGCATTTGTTCTTGTCGGGACTGTGCATGTGCCCAAGGACTTGGCTCAAGCTGGTACGTCGCTGGGGACCAGCTGACCTTTGAGGGACGAACTGTGTAGCATTCTGCTACTGGCTGGCGCTAGCACCTGAGACTTTGGAGGCGTGGCTATGCAGATGACTACACACAAAGGCTCATGGTAGCGTGCACTCTCCTGAAAAAGGTCTATTTATATTTCCTGATGGGTTGATATCACAGTGTAAAGGACAGGTGTTCTTAGACTTGTTATAAATACACCTGATGGTTTTCTAATGGGTTCTAGGGATGTCCTACAGGAAATTAGTGGTTTCTAAAAGTAACCATTAAGCCAATACCCATTAGAAAGCAAAACCATCAGGTCTCAATATTAATAGTTCTTTTTTCATCTTAATGGTCTTTTTTCAGCAAAGTAAAAGGAGGAGTGGCATGTCATGAGACCGTCAACTTGTTTGAGATTTAACAATAGCATAAACAAGCAATTCACATTATCTTGAAAGGGCCATAAATGATCATGTTTTAATAAAGGTGCTACCTGTCCTTATGAGGAACTTTTTACTATACGAAAATATATGACGGTAACCAGTAGCTCACGTATGAGGTAAGTCTGCCACCTGCTGGCTGTGATGCAAACGCGCAGGTTCTGTCTGAGCCCAAGGCTGTGTCTCAACATGTGCGGTTTGAAATGCCGCCGGGGTCACCCCATTGGCTAAGCTGAGAGAAGACGTCATCAAGACGGTGACGGGGAATGTGTTCTGTTTCATACACCAAAGCAGACTGTCTGACTAGCCGGCTAGCAAAGCGAAAGGGCAGATACCGGTTTAACTTAGCAAAATGGAAAGAGTCCTTTGTGAAACACACGGTAGGTGACAGTTCAAAAACAATATTGACAAAGAGACAACTTCAGCCTCGTCACTAACGGTGTAGTCTTTAAAACTACAACGAATAAACATTAGTCTGCCACACTAGCTAACTTAGCTGAGTGAGCTGGAGAGAGTAACGTTAGAGGCGCTCTGCATAGCAGCACGTCAGACCTCAACCATCTGAAATGATATGAGTAGCTTTCACAGCTAAGGCAGAGCTGTATGTTCGGGTTGTAAGTCTGCGCAGGTGTTGTATAACTTTTCATTTTTTGACATAGCTAGCTAATATGGCTCTCTTCAATCAGGCAGTACTTGCTTTTTGAAGACTGGGGTGAAGAAAGGACCGAATCAGGGCAAGAGCTTCTACGTTTGCACTGCACAGGATGCGACACCATGCAACTTTGCACAGCCTGCTGAGTGAGTGGAGCTTGTTTTAGGTTTTAAATCGCAACCTGTCGTACAATACACACTATTCGTGCAGTTTCATATATTTTTTTCATTCAGCTGTGCTAGTTTACCTCGTTGGTTTTCTATCTTGCTTTGGGTATTGTGGAGAGACTGCTAATCCGAGGTTTCTGCTAATCTCAGAGTTCCACCTTCTCACTGTCTTCGCCATGAAGATGCATTGGTTGAACTTCAGGCCTTAGTTCACAATGAAGCACAAGGCAGTTACAGGTGAGCTGTGTGTTTAAAGATGTGTTTTTAAAGGCATGCAGTTCTTTTATGCCATAAAAGTCTGGCTGAAGTGCTTATAATCATTTGATCAAATTATTATTTCTCAAATCAGGTTGCTGTATCGCTGTGTAACAGGAAAGAAAGAGGGACACAAGTGGTGTGGGAGTATTCCATGGTCAGAGGTAACCATTATAATTAAAACTAAATCAAATGAAAAGCAGTATTCTATCTTATTGGTATCTAAGTGCATTACACATGTGAGTGACATATTAAAAGAAAAAGTAATGCAAAATGTCTTCGTAAAGTGTTGGGCTACCTCAAGCTGCCAGAACAGCTTCACATAGTCTCTACAAGTCTCTGGAACTGCACTGGACCGATGCAACACCATTCTTTCAAGAGATATTGCCTCATTTGGTGCTTGTTTATAGTGGTGGAGAAGGCTGTCTAACACGTTGGTCCAAAGTTTTGTATAGGTATTCAGTTGGGTTAAAATTAGAAGAATGTGAAAGCCATATTGTACAATTTACATAATTTTCATACTCAATAAGATTTGTATTCATCATTGAAATGAGAGGTTCTTGTGTTGGAACACTCTTATACTATCTCTCTGTTTGTTGTTGTGGATGGACTGTTCTAGCTTGCACAGTCTGGTTACATCCCACATTGACATTCTTAATCACCTGAAGACATGACGCTCATCTGTCTTTTTTTTTTTCTTCTTTTCTTATTGCACTAATGCCCAAGCATCATGGTCATTGAATGTGCACTTTTGACAACAATTTCCAAGCCATTTATCTACTGTCTTTCCCATAGCTCTAAATGCAGCTGTCAAAAATCATCTGTACCTGTTTCTTCACTCATTTATTCAGGCTTCAATTTGTCACTTGTCTGTTGTATTGTTTTTGAGAGTAACAGTACAAGATTAGGAATTGAAGTCTGTGTAGATGTGTGAATGTTTTTGCAAATGTATTGCAGTTAATTTATTTAATTTTAAAATGCTTTTTGCAGAAGGACAGTGAGAGGAGTCCTTTGTCAGACAAAAGGAATCAGCCTTCCATCCTACCTCCTGTCAGAAACCCTTTCAAAGCCCCTAACAAAGTAGACCAAACCTCAGAGTGGAGAAAACTTCAAGAGGCAGACGTGGGGAGTGCAAAGGTGACGAAGTCAGGTAAATATATAGATAGTGAGAGCCACAAGAAGACCAAAGAAGATAAAAAGCACAACAAGGAAGCAGAGGAAGAACAGAATAGCAAATGCAACTCTAAGGGTGCAGCTGCATTGGATGGTGAAATAGCCAGTTCTGCACAGCAAGAGTCCTGGAGAAACAAGAAACTTCCTCCTGGAATGAAGATAAAAAAGCGAGCATCTGATGAAGAGAGGAAGCGCAGTAGCGGTGGCGAAGTAACTGCTAGCACAGCAGAGAGTTCAGAGGGCACTGAGGGCTCTAGCAGTAAGTGTGAGAAAATAAAGGAGCAACAAACTGAGAAACAGACTAAATCTTCTACCCCCAGAGCCCATGATGAAGAAAAAAGAGAGGAGGGAGCAGTCACAGAGACTCTTCCCTCCAGAGTCTCACAACAAAAGCCCTCTCAAAAAGCTGAGAGGTATAGTGAGAAAACTGCTGCCAGTGACAGCGTGAAAGAAAATATCACCTTTAGCAAGAGTGTTACACCAAGTGTAGACTCTCGGCCACAGGTTGTTACTAAAAAGACCCACAGTCCACAAAGTGGCAAGCCAAGCAGCCCAACCTCTACATTAGAAGGTGTTTCAGCTTCTGCAAAGCCAGTTAAAAATAGTTCCCAAGACACAGTGTCAGGTGAGAGCCAGGACAAGATTCAGAAAAGCAAGAGCACAGTAAACTCTCCATTTGGAGAGTGGAGTGATGAAGATGATGATGTTCAGCTGGTGTCAGTGCAGCCAGGCCCTGAGCAGACATCCAAGGCTCCAGTTGCACCTGTGCAGAAAACCCTCACCTCCTACCCAGGCTTCCAGCCCGCATCAAAAGTCAAGAGTCAAGATGAAGATCCTAAAGCTCTGCACAGCCAGCTTACTGCCCAGCTTAAACAGAAGAAGGTACTGATTCAGTGTTTGTTATAGAATCTTTATCAGTATTTTTCTGTCATTCTTCTACTGCAGTTTTTGCTTTTCCTGCTCTTCTATGCCCTCTGGTCTTAAAAAACATGGGCTGACCACGTTTTGGTTTTCAAAGAAGTGGACACTGGGGACAGGAAGGTGGCACAGATTAGAGTGTAGAAAGCACATGTCTGCATGAAAGCAAAGGCAAATCCTGAACATTTCAGGCAATTTAGAAATCCTGGCCAGGCATATTTTTTTAGGTTCCCAAAAGAGGATGTGTCGTAGAAAAAAAAAGGGTTTATGGTCAGACTGGAAAAAGCCAAGTGTAAATTAATATCTAACCACTGTAGGAATCGTCAGACCACTTCAGGAGTGGTTCGAGATGCAGCTGAGCCAAGTTGAAATGTAGCTGTTTTTCAAGCCATTTTCATAATCTTTGTTCTGCTTGTCAGTAGTGTGCATGGAGCTGGTACTGGATTCTCTCTCTTGTTCTTATGAAATGCATAATTACATAAAGAAAAATGTGTTTGGTGCCTGCCATTGTCTCAGGAAATGCTGGAAGAGAATTTGTTGGGTTTGTATATAATAGAGAAGAGCAGCACTGATACAGATCAGATTTCTGTCACTCTGGTGGAGGTGCATTTCTGTGGCCAGGTGTAAATGTAATGCAGATAAATCGTGTCTGCATGTTTCCCCGAATATGAGATGCATGAAATGGCATGTGGCTCCTGTTGACTTTATCTGATTATGCAGGTGTGGTCTTAGTGTGATCAGTATAATAATCAGAATGACAATTCTTTGTATTACTAATCAGCTTCACACAATATTTTTCTCCCTTCTTACTCTGTGTATGTGCCCTTGGCCCAGGCCACTCTCTCAGCAGTGAATGTGTCTGCTCTTCCTGATAAAGGAGAGAGGCTGAAGAGCCAAGTGAAGGAGTTGGAAGATGCTTTGGAGGCTTTGAGTCTGACCAATGTTGCTCTCACTGGTGAGATACTGACTTTGAGCCTGAAAAGTATCTCATTGATGTGTTACTCCTTCAGGTATGTGACTAAAGACTAAATGTTATTGGATAATCTCTTTGTAGATTCTCAGGATGCAGACAGTAGCACGCAGCAGAAACCTCTGCCCAGCCAGTCCAACCCTTTTAGCCGACCAGGAGGCACTGTCTTTTTAGCAGAAGCACCAGTCCTATTCCAGCAGAAATCCTCTGCTAGCGCCTTAGAATTGCATCTCAGTCAGGGTTACACACAGATGTATGGAGGTAATCCTTTTCACCCTCTTTTTGGACTAAACATCTTTTTTTTTTCTCATGATATAAATAGGCGGATATCTGTTGTCATTGTTCCTGATGTTTCATTTGTTTATTGTCATGAGCTCTCTTGAAACATTTCCTCCCCAGTAAATCCTCAAAACCAGGCTTTCTATGGAGGCAGGATGACTGAGAACAGACTGCTTGCTGTGCGCAATGCCACAACTGAGGCAATTGACCACCTACATCACTCCTTGGAGTCCTGCCCTTCTGCCGACACAGAAGCACAGGATCCCAAAGGAATCAAGGCAAGAGACTCTGCATAATTACTGAGAAAATCATTGTACTTGTATACTAATGCACTTTGAACTGTGGATGAAAAGATAAGTAGATAGAAATGTGACATTTCAGTTCTTGTGTTTTGTCATTTGGAATAATTGCACTCTTGGAACTGGGTACTGAGATGATCTTCACCCCTTCAGGTCCCATTATTGCCTCACCAGAGAAGAGCCCTGGCCTGGATCCTGTGGAGGGAGACCCAGAAACCCTGTGGTGGTATTCTGGGTAACACTTAATTTCTCTCCTTAAAAATTGTGTTAGGAATATTTGATATTGGTTTAGCATGATGCATATGAGGATATGACAGCAGCTGAATTTATGAGTGATGAATGAAATGAAAAGGTCAAAGTAAGGCTTAGTTTTGTCTTTTATTTGATTCGTTTATTTATTTTTTAGCGCCATTGAATGGTGCTCACGTCAAAGACACAATCACTCTACGAGACCTTGTTGTAGTTGTTGTATTTATTTCTTTTTATTTTTTAGCCTTAGTCGGTTTGTTTTTCTGCTATTTCAGCCGATGACATGGGTCTGGGAAAGACCCTGACCATGATTGCTCTCATTCTGGCCCAGAAGAAGAAGAAGGATGCCAAGGACACTGAGCTGGAGGGATGGATCTCCAAGACTGGTAAATACTCTTGCGCAGTGTTGTTAATTTACTGCGATGCTGAAATGGCTCTTTCTGTCTTCTATTTTTCTCTCTTATCTATCTCTGATGATAAGCATATTCATAGACTAGTGTATCCTGGTATTCTGTGGATGTATTCAATATGATTTTCATGATTTTATTTATTTATTTTTTTAAAAAAGACTCATCTTTGGTGGCATCTCAGGGAACTCTGATTATCTGTCCTGCCTCTCTGGTGCATCACTGGAAGAAAGAGATAGAAAGACATGTAAAGAACAGTCGACTCAGTGTGTATCTCTACCATGGGCCCAACCGACAGAGGAGTGCGAGCGTGTAAGACACATAGTGATACTGTGCAGTATCGCTGACACTCTTTAGTAGTAGTGTACATCAGCATGGACTGTAAATCTGTTTAGAAATTCCTGTAAAATTTCCTAATTTTTCTGTTAGATCTGTGTTTCACTTGCATTTCTCCTCTCTCCATTAGACTGGCTGAGCATGATGTGGTAGTCACCACATACAGTTTGGTCTCTAAAGAGATCCCTGTTCAGAAAGAAGATGCAGAACGTCCCAGTGAAGATGCTGAGCCTACGGTATGAAGTACTAAATTGGTAGAAGTTATGTGAATAATTAACATGCGTTCTTATTAACTAAAGTAGTGTAATCTCAAAATGTCATTGGTGCACAGGCATGAAAAGAGAGTGGTCTGTTAAAGCTGATGATTCTTATGTTTTGTCTCAAACTGCCAATGTGAGAAAGTCAAAAGATGAAACAATAATGTCTCTTTCTGTATGTTTGTCTGCACTTTCCCACAGCATCCCTCCATTGTCCAGTAAGGTGGCATTGAGCTGTTTTTATAGCAGTAGATAGTGCGCTAACATACAAAGATCCAGCTGGTCTTCTTTTTCTAAAACAGTACATAGAACAATAGATCATTTGACAATAGATGATTGAACCCACTGTAAATGTTACTGTCTCTACAAATATAGGGTCTCCATGTACAGGTTAATCTCAGCCTCAGCCTCCATTTTTATCTTTTTATGAAATGGTTTTGCACACCATAATAACAGCAATGGCCGTTTGATGCAAGATGTAGTTGATGAATTGAAAACAAGTTTGTGAAATTTGTGGCATTCTCATTCACTTGGTTTCAGGAGATCTGTTTTTGTTGTAAAACAATTTTGACAATCATCTGCTTCTACACAGCACACTAAGATAAAGGTCTGTGGTTGGTCATTTTGCATGTCAGTGAAATGGCTTCTGAGTTGAGTGACCAAACCTACCTGATTCAATCGTAATAGCCAGATGTCTCTGCTTAGGCATCGGACATGGGCCCTCTCTTGCGTGTTGCCTGGGCTCGTGTGGTTCTGGATGAGGCTCACAACATCAAGAACCCTAAAGTCCAGACCTCCATGGCGGTGTGCAAGCTGCGGGCCAGAGCACGCTGGGCTGTTACTGGAACACCCATCCAGAACAACCTGTTGGACATGTACTCACTGCTGAAGTATGAGCATTCTTCTAATGTTCCAGCCTTAGAACCCTTAGAACAGCTTTAACGGTTTTCAAAGATTATGTTTATTTTCTCTCACTTTTATTACAAATGCAGCTTTTGCGATGACCTGAGCTGAAAAATGTCAGTGATAGAACTTCAACAAGCCCATGTGTGTGTGTTGTAGGTTTTTGAGGTGCTCTCCCTTTGATGAATATAAACTGTGGAAGGCTCAGGTAGACAACGGCTCAAAAAGAGGAGGAGAGAGGCTCAACATCCTCACCAGGTCTCTGCTGCTCCGCAGGACCAAGAACCAGCTGGACTCTACAGGCAAACCTCTGGTACGTGCATGTGGACCATATGTGCACCTGTTCTCTAAACTTACACAGAAGACATTAACTCCTTTTGTATTTTGTGCTAGGTGTCTCTGCCTGACCGAAGCTGTGAAGTTCACAGAGTGAAACTGTCTGAAGAAGAGCAGTCAGTTTATGATGTAGTATTTGCACAATCCAGGTACAGATTAGTACAAAGTTATGAAGGGCCTATCATAAGACCCGTAGACTGTATTGCGTTTAGCATCATGCTGTTCTCTTTACCAGGTCCACCCTTCAGTCCTACCTAAATAGGCATGAAGGAGGAGACACTAAACAAGGATACAGTGGCAACCCATTTGAGAAAGGTTAGAATTTTAAGTACAGTCCTGAAAAAGGCTGTGTTATAATGTGAATATGCTCTTAAGTGCATGTAATGTCATTAGCTAGTAAGTTAGGTATAAATAATTATTACAGAACGTCCGACTTAAGAGATACAACTCAAGTTCAAACAAAACATACATAAGCTTCTCGGCTCTGTAAATACGTTTAACCAACCATTGTTGGGTAGATGACGTTGCTTTATGTAATTGGGTAAATACTGCCACCTACTGTTTGTCCTGTGCCTGCATGCTTCTTTCAATTGTGGTATCAAAAGCATGTCAGGGACTCAGTAAGAGACACTGGTTTTTGTAGGCCAGCTTGTTAAGCAAAAAAATAAAAAAAAAAATTAAAAATTTGAAACTGTTTACAGTCAGCATTGGAAATAAGTGAAATAGAATGAACGCAGTTTAAAGGAGAAACGCTACTGCAAAGTAAAATTTTTTTGCTTGTTGCTTTTTGCTTTTATTTTATTTTATTAAACCACTAGGGTAGGTGGCTCTTGCATCCCTAATCCTGGTATTATACAAAAAAGGCCTTCATATTCGGGTTATGAGTGGAGCTAAATTGTCATTTAAATCCTGCAAGTGTTTAATGCATTTAGGGTTAACAACTTAAGATCACATTACAGAAATAAAAAGGTCATCGAAATACAGTTAATTATTAATCAGTTGTAAAGTCAAAGTCAGTTTAGACCATAGTAGGGCCACTTGTTGCAACAAAAGACTCAGCAGTATTTCTAATGTAAAACCCATCATAAATGTACATTAATCTTGAAAAAATTTGATGGATTCCTCAGATGGCACTGCATTAAAAACTGTCATGCTTCTGTGATGGAAATCACCACATGGGCTCAAGAATACTTTGACGAACTGGAGTCGGTAAACACAGTTTATTGCATCCACAAATGCAGGTTAAGACTGTACCATGCACAGCGGAAGCCAAATGTCAAAATCGTCCATTAACAGCACCAACTTCTCTGCTAAATTGGCTTGCCTGCGGTCCAGACCTGTCTCCCACTAAAAATGTGTGGCGCACTATGAAGTGTGAATACAACAGTGAATGCACCATGCAGCAACTGGAGACTTGTAGTAGAGAAGAATGGCAAAATTACTACTTTAAAAACTGGACCAGTTGGTGTCCCCAAATGAGTATCAAGTGTTCGTAAAAGAACTGTGATTATTGGTGCTGCATCTTTAAAAATGTTTGTGTGTTTTAGTTGCACGTGAGTTTGGAATGTCCCAGCAGGAGAAGGTATCTTCCTCTCAACACACCCAGGGTTCCAGCACCATTCACATCCTGTCTCTGCTGCTGCGCCTCAGACAGTGCTGTTGTCACCTGTCCCTGCTTAAAAAGGTAACGTTCTCACATATATTCTTAAACTGTCTTCTCTCAATCAATTTCAGCCTGTGGATTTTGTGTTATATTTGTGTGTGTCTTTTTCAGACTCTGGATCAGTCAGAGCTGCAGGGTGATGGGATAGCTTTGTCTCTGGAGGAACAGCTGTGTGCCCTCTCTCTGTCAGAGCCCTCTGACTCTGACCCCAAGTCCACTGTCTCCCTCAATGGCAGTCGCTTCAGTTCTGAGCTCTTTGAGCAGAGCCGTGAGAGCACCAAGGTGACTCTCCACCCACTTTCTTTATTACAAAATGTTAGATAATGTATTACATCTAGATTATTATACAAAATTGTAAATGTTTGAAAAAATCCTCTTTATAATTTCTGATGTTGTAAACTCAAAAAGTACAAAGAAAATTGTTTAAATGTAAAGACTTTGTATGTATTTGTATTTGTAGTTAGCTGTTTAAGTTTTTCTTTCTAGCTAACATGAACCAGCTCTGTTGGGTCTGGCTGTGTCATTTGTTACCAACTTGATGATAAATGTAATGTCACAAATTATGTAAGCTTAATGTAAGCTTCACTGCTTTAAAATAAGTATTTCCACACCAACTCATCCCGAGGCCTAGCAGGTCATTTGAAGTGAAAATTTAAGCAATCATTCATGCAGTTCATGCAACAATGCAAATTTTAAAGATTACAGGACATAATCTATAGTCCCAGTCCATCTTTTTGTTCAGATTTCAGCCATCCTTACAGAGTTGCGGGAGATCCGCAAGAAAAATCAGAAAAGGTACGTTTTGTCTCTGTGGTTTTTGATACATTTATTGAATACACTGCAGGAAAAAAGCATCTTGACAAGTGAAATTCTCAAATCTAGTCTTTACATCATTTTTTTATCTGCCAATATAGTGAGAATTTCACCTGATAAAATCACTTAAAACAAGTAAAAAAATGTTTAGAAAGAAGTTAATTAATCTTGTAGTAAGCTTACAGAAAAATACTAGAAATATTTACTAGATTAAAGATCATTTCACATGCCATGGTAACATTTTTATGCAGACTTGAATTCAGATGTGGCTGCACATTTAACATGTTGAGCATGTTGCCTTCCCAAAATTTTGGTTGTGTAAATGGAGGTGTTTGAGACTGACTGGAGTGTCTGTTGGCAGTGTAATTGTGTCCCAGTGGACCAGTATGCTGCACATTGTAGCTGTTCACTTAAAGAAGATGGATCTGCACTTTGGAGTTATAGACGGTACAGTCAACCCCAAACGGCGCATAGACCTAGTGGAAGAATTCAACACCAACCCTAAAGGACCACAGGTTTGTGTCCTCACACCTGCAGAATGAAGCTGCAGCGTTCTACTCTACATGGCCCAAAGTATTTGAACACCCTTTCTAATCAGTGGTTTGGTTTTTTCAAGTATACAGCCTTGCAATAGCCATAGCTCATAGGAAAAAAATGGCAGATGGTGGGGGAATGCTGCCTGCCTGAATGCATAGTGCCAACTGTTAAGTTTAGTGGAGGAGGAATAACGGTCTTTATGATTTGGCCTGAGCCTCGTAGTTCAGTGAAAGGAAGTCTGTACAATTATTATTAATTATTAATAATAATTGTGTGTGTGTGTGTGTGTCTGCTTCCAACTAGTGATGCACAGATCCAAAACACTTGACCAGTGTCTGACTGATCCACTCTCTATATTGCTTTGTTGACAGTCACTCTCAAATCAAAGCGTGTCATTCCAAACCACAATACATGTCTCTCCACAAATCACATGCAAGTTTCACTTTGTGTTTTTATTAATGGAACCGAATAATCTACATACAGCTAATAATTATAAGTGATCCCATTACAGATAAACTTGTTTGTTTAAGGAGATAAGCAAAGCATGACACTGCAAGAGAATAAAAGCCCTGTGCAGGAGGACTCTTCTAACTATCTTTAAATTTCATAATAATTCCTGTAGTTATGGAAGTAGATGTTCAGTTGGGTGTCCACATACCTTTGGCCATGTTGTGAACCTTATTCATGTGGGCCAAGGTTAACTGCATTTGTGAGAGTAATCACTGAATACCATGAATACCATTTAACCTGGATGTAATGTAGGAGGATAATTTTGTGTGCTGTGTCTCATTGAATTGATGTGTGTTGCAGGTAATGCTGGTGTCTTTATGTGCTGGAGGAGTGGGTCTTAATCTGACTGGTGGGAACCATCTGTTCCTCATAGACATGCACTGGTAAGTCACTATGCTCTTCAATTAGTATCAATAAAAAGCTGTCAACATAAGCCAGTCGTTTCTGTCTGATTTGTTTTTATTCCGTACTCATTCAACCAATATCCTGACATTATACTTTTTAAATTTTATATGCAAAGTAGGCCATCAATACTTCAGATACAATTAGGAGAAAAAGCAACATCTCATTCTGTTCAGTCACTGCAAATTAAACAGTAATTGCTTTTAACAGTGAACTACTTTGAAGTGTGTGCATTAAAATGGTTTTGAATATGCCTAAGCTGAAGCTGGATTTACAGGAACCCAGCGCTGGAGGACCAGGCCTGTGACAGAATCTACAGAGTCGGTCAGCGCCTGGACGTTACCATTCACAAGTAAGCAGTAGATTTATAGACCTGTGACACTGGAGTGAATAAGCAGTGATGTTTTGTTTTACTTTCATTCACTGCTTAAATGAGAGGCTTTACATAATGATACATGTGGCAGGGCTATATCACAATCAAATTGATTTAGCTTTGTACAGTACAGGTACTGTTACATTCAATACTTTATTTAATGTTGGAGCACTTTCACAGCTCTCAGTAAAGGTTGAAGTGTTCTGTGGCAGGGGTTCTCAAATTCAGTCCTAACTGCAAATTGTCCAGGGCCACAAAGCTTCTTAAAGTAGGAGTACCGGTTTAGGATCAGATTCATGTCTTATTTACGTGATCCTGTATCAGCACTCCTTGTCTGAAATGCTTTGTGAAACCCTGACGAGCCCCAATTGATAATTTTATTTTATTGTTCTTATTGTATATGTATAATCTTCAAATGTAGTGTTTTTTGTAAGCACACTATTGTGATATCATAATTCATGGTAAAAGCTTAGGTATTAAAATGTTATATATTGGCATACAGATATGGACTCTCCATCTAAAAACCCTAGCAGTAGAATGGTTCATATGAAGAGGTAGCCACAGGAGATCAGAGAATGGTGTGAGTCTTATTGCCCAACATCAGTGCCCAACTTCACTAATGCTCGCGTAGCCAAATCTAAATTAATCCCTGCAGCATTGTTCCAAAACCTATATCTGTGCTATCTATACTCCATATTGATGATGTTAATGCTTGATGCCTTATAGCACAATTGGTACAATGTAGTGGGTAACACCACTGAAAACCATGCTATTCAAGAACTTTACTAGGGCAGGATCCAGGAGTCTGGATAAGCATCTGCCAGTTGTCGTAAATATGCATGTCCATATTAACGTCCATGGTTTTGGAATGAGATGCTAAATAAGCATATATGGGTGTGATGTTTGGTGTCCACATACTTGTAACCATTTAGTGTATACGTGTGGTAGTCTAAAGCCCTGTAATATACGCCATTTCTGTTTACATGAACGTTTTGCTGAACACAGCCCAGATTGGGTGTCGCCACACATCTCCACTTCTTGTATATGTCATTGTAATTTAGAAGCCTTGTGCAGAGTGTAATTGCAACTTCCTGTCATTTCATAAAAATCTGAAGCTGGCATTGTAATGTGATATATATATATATATATATATATATATATATATATATATATATAGAGAGAGAGAGAGAGAGAGAGAGAGAGAGAGAGAGAGAGAGAGAGAGAGAGAGAGAGAGAGAGAGAGAGAGAGAGAGAGAGCCCTGCTATATAGTGCGATGAACCCTTGCTATAAACCCTACTATAGTAGCTGAGTCAGTTTTTTAAAAATGGTTTGTTGTATTTTCTTCCAGTGCCTTTTGAATCAAAATTAATCAGTTAAGATAAAAATAAACGTCACTGTCCAAAGAAAAAACTTCACGGAAGAAAGAAAAAACGTTCTTAACTTTTAATATAAGTTAATGTTAAAGGGTTTTATTTCAAGTGATTCTTGAGCGTTTGTCTTGGTCTAGTCATACATTTTTCACACAATATAAAGGGCAGCTGTCGGGTTCAAATTATGAAAAAAATAATAATAATAAATTGACAAGTTGCTCTCTTTATTTTACTTATTCTGTGCTTCTTACTCTGCAGGTTTGTGTGTGAGGGAACAGTGGAGGATAAGATCTCCTCTCTGCAGGAGAAAAAAAAGGAGCTTGCTCAGAAAGTCCTGTCTGGAACTGGCTCCTCCTTCACCAAGCTCTCCCTGGCAGACCTCAGGGTCATCTTTGGGGTGTAAGATATGTGATCATACTGTGGATCAGAGTGTAACCAGTATTCATCTTGATCAGAATGTTTGAATATGTCACACACATCCATAAAACTTATCAGCTGTGTTACTCATTACAGACGCTTTATGTCAGATACCTACAACACTGCATGTTCTTACAGAATTGTTCTTATATATGTACTGTATCATTGCTGCAAAATACTAAATCAATCCTAGACTGGTGCCACATGGTACTGCTGTAATACCTCAAACATGTCATTAAGGGCTTGAAAAGGAAAAATGCCTTATGCCAGATCACTGTGGATTTTAACTGTGGTTGCCTTTCCAGATTTGAGATTAAGTGCTAGTACACTACTTGATCAGTGCTGTATTTGGTACTTCTGTTGATCCAGAAAGGGTGCAGTGTTTTCAATTGTTAGTTCAGATTTCTCTGATGTTCTCTTATTTCTAAAGTAAGTGGGTTTATTAGTGATAAAGAAGGTTGAGCAGATACCTGTTGAATCTGCAGCCTTTTAGGTTTAAAACAAGTGAGTGAAAGCATCCCAAAGTGAGCACCACTACACTATTCATAAGCAGAGCAGCCAGTAACTCTATCCCATCATATTTACAGTTTTTGTTTGTACTTTGCCTTGTTTATTGTTCTGTACTTTGATATGAATGTTTTTGAGTGTCTTGTCTATGTTTTTATGGCACTTCATGCTTTGATTTTATAAATTAAAATATAATCAATTTCTTTCATGTATAACGTGAGGCATTGAATTTTGAACTGAAACAGTGAACAATTAAAGCAAGACACAAACTGAAAGAACATGACATTTTGAACAGTCATGTCCAATTTGAGCCTGAATGAAATGACATAAAAGGTTTAAAATGTTTTTTTTTCTTTGTGTCTGTGAATTTTATGGCACCTATGGTAGATGAATAACAAGTTCAGAAAGCCTTTTTGACTGAAACTACTACAGATGATCGTGTCTAAGCTAGCATCATACTGTCACTTTTCGTTCACCACTTCAGAATATTTTCATAATATTTTCATAGTATCTAGATACAGATTTGAATTTAGGCATATTCATTCTTCAGAACTACCAGATACGTACGCCACGGGTCAGTTTAGTCTGTTGACTTTTCCCCATTTACATGTAGTTCTCTTTTTATCTTCTTCAGTCTGTCCTTGGCTGGGGCTTTTGCGTTCTCTTTGGCCAGTTCTTTAAGCTCCACATCAATAAAGTTGTCAGTCTCTTCCAGTGTGTACTCCTCATAGAGAGCCTTATTATAAATGTACAGTCCTTTGCTTTTTGAGTAGCACAGGCCTACTGTCCATAAAATGAACAGCAGACACAAGACAGCCAATCCAGTCACCTTAAAAATAGTATGTTTGAAATGAGGAAGAGATAAAATGAACAGTTACTGAGTTAGTGATTGCTTACTGGTGTCATCCTGCTGTAAATTTACTCATTCATGAGTTATTAATTTATTAAATAGAATACTTACACGTGACAAACTTTTATTATGTGTGATGGATGCAAATTCCTCACTGGTGGGTTCCTTCTTACAAGCCGGCTGCTCACTCCTGACTGTTGTGTCCGATGAAGTGGTTTCTAAGCACACCCAGCAGTCTCCATCCAGCAGCACTGTTACAATCCATAATGTGCCCACAGTGATGGCTCTTCCAGTTCGCTTCCAAAATATGCAGGAGAAAGTCAGAGTTTGGAAAGCACAAATCTTTAAATAGATGTTGTCCACCACAACTATAATGAGGAACAAAATTAAAAAGGGTACAGTTATGTAAATCCAACAGAACCACTTGTTTTCATCAGGGTCACATGGACAAACAAACTCCACTTTGAAAATGTATTGGAAGGTAACAAAAAAGAAGATGATGGCGAAAGCACCACCAGCTGACGCTAGTAGTTTTGATAGTGCGTCAGTAGCGAACTCTGGATGGGTCATCGTTGCTGCTCAGACAGTAGCCTGTCTTGTGCTGTGTGTATGAAAACTGGTCACGGCAGCCCAGAGTGTGTAGGAATGACACCAGCACAGCCTTCTTATGAGTAAAAGCTAGAGAGGGAGGAGGAGTCAGAACACTCTGACTGGCTTTGTCTTGGAAAATGTTGAAATCTTTAAAGCATACAACTTCTATAAACTATGAAATTATGATGTTCAAGTACTTTGAATACATCTTTTAACAGTTATTTCTGACCACAAAATCGAATTGGTTGCAAACTGCTCTACACAAATAACAGCACGATTCTTTAACAATAACTGTGTCATTCCACAGAGCACTGGCTGCTGAGTAGCAGCTCACTTTGTACTGCAGCTATCCATTATTAATTTTCTGCTTTAGCACATACAGAAACAGAAAATGGACACATCAGTTAACTTTTATAAGATAATATTTGAACCGCAGCCCATTTGGTCAGTCTTTTGTTGCCTCAAAGCAAGCTTTTCTATCAGCAGCTGTGACAACGAAACAACTAAACAAACTGAAATGATCCAATAAGCAGATTACAATTCAGTAAACAAAATGGTCTGTGTGCTTTACAGATCGGCTAAAACAAAAGAACATTAAGCTTAGTCTGTCAAATATTGAAAAAGCTGAGCTAAACCTGATATTAGGGCAGTTTATTTGTCTATAATTCAAAAGGCTGGGGAAGGAGTTTCTAATAGTCTTGAGTTAGTGCCTGCATCCAAATCACAGCTGCAGTGTAACTCGCAATAATATGCCCTCTCGTCTTATGTTGCTTAAATGTATTAGCATTCAAACCAAATTATACACCCCTTTTTCTGCGTTTGGAAAACAGTCATTTAAGTTTGTGAAGAGGCAAGAAACATTGAAGTGAAACTAAATCCTTACAATTACTTGACAGGGCAGTTAAGCATGTATACCAACAGACTGCACAAGCTTTCACAGAAAGCTCACTGACCTGCCATTTAATTATAGACTTCCATCTGGGGGGAAAATGGGTAGAAAACTAGTCTTCTTATCAACAAATGCCAAAAAATAGAACTTTCCTGGACAACACAACATATTTTAAAGTACCACTAAGGTCACTGTGTAAACCACTTATTTGTTGAGTGATGAACTTATTAATGTTAGAGTTTTAGCTTATTTTAGTTTCCACTCTGCTCAATTTAATCTGTTCAATCTGTTCAAGTATGGAGGGCTCTATTCCCCTTTCACCAAAGCTAAAACACAGCATGCAGGGTAGTAGAGAGAGGTGGGATTTAAAAACCAGGTGTCAGTGGGAAAGTCACAATTTGCATAATTATGCATATTCATAAATCTTTGCATTTTTAAGGAGTGTAAAGGTTTAGGGATGCTTCTGTGCCATTTTTGAAAATTTAAAGCATAACAACAACAATATATAATAAAAATACACTTCAACATCACAATGAGATTTTTAACCTATGTGTTTTTGAAATATTGCTGGTTTTAGTAGTCAATGTAGTGTAGATGCTTATATGAACCCATTTACACCCAAAGAACGAGTGTAATAAGGAAATTGCACATATCGTCTGTTTGACAAAAAATTTGGCATCAGGCCATTTTGTGGCACGATTTTCCCAAACCTTGAAATTTTCCTTACCTCTTATGTTTCATATCTCTAATATTAATCAAAGTCGGTACGTTGGAAAAACAAGGAAAAAAATCCAAAAACAATTTCTAAATAATTTGTGTGTGCATGTATGTATTGTCTATCTGAAAGAAAGACTGAGAAGAAAAATTTAAAGGAAACGCTCAATTGTTCTAATATAGAGTGGTGTCCCATTAAAATGTACTGATTTCTCGTAGACAGCACACACTCTTTTGTTCTCTTCCGTTTTGTGCGTGTGAAGTGGTAATTAAAATGTTGATCTTGATTTGTTGAGATATTGAGATATTTTATTGCTCAAAGAGAAGTTATCAAATTGTGATAAACAGAACAGTCATTTCTCATGAAAATGTGTAAAATGTACAAAATTGACCAAATACTAAAAAAGTACAATAAGAAAATTGGACACTGTAGCCAAACTGTTTGAACAATTTCAATTTCAGATTTGTGATCAGTGAAGCTCTAAGAAATTTCAATGTAAAAATTCCAATAAAGATATAAATGGGTTAAGATCTGTAACTGTACTCTGTTTGCATGTGTTAGAGAGAAATAGTCATTTTATACGCTGCCAAGAACAATATGAAATAATCACATGAAAATTTCGCTTTCTGATGCGCTTGATAATCCACTGTATGGTTATGTAATTGTGTACAAAAACAATCACAAAACTGTTTTATCTCCTCACTGGAGTGACGCCTTTCTGCAGACTCAGTGGCAAAAGAATCAAGAGACTCTGCATAAGAACCATGAAGTCAAACTAGAATTCTCTGTGACCTAAAATACGATCAGATCTTCGTCTTAGTCATGACAATAGATAAAAAACAAACAACACAAATAACTAGAAAAGTGCATTTCCTGAAGAAAATGCAGAGTGATTACACAGCTTAAGCAGTTGCTAAATGGTTGCTAGGGTGCTCCCTGTTGGTTACCATGCTATTTAAGGTGGTTGCCAAGGTGTTGCTAACCATTTGTTTAGTACCTCAGTTAGTTGCTATTTGGTTGCTATGGTAACCCAAGTGGTTGCTAAGGTATTGCTAGGCAGTTGCTATGTTATCCCTGATGGTTGCTAGGAGGTTGCTATGTCATTTCTATGGTACACCACATAGTTAATAGGGTGTTGCTAATGGGCTCGTATCATTGTGATATAAGCTAGGCGCACTTTTGCCCCCTGTTCATTATTTTTTATAGGGAAAAAAATCATCATTTAACGATAATTGTTCAAAAATCATAGGTCTATTTTGAAAAACTGCAGGATGAGTTAGTGGACAAAAATAAAAAGAAGAATATGAATCGGATAACAAAATTGTTAATTTGCATTGCACAATCACTAACTCCATAGCTTTAACAAAGTGATGCAACATTAAATATCATTGTTAGTGTGACACCTTTGAAAGGCAATAACTTAAACCAAAAGTTTCCTATAGCTGTTGGTCAGTCCTGCACTTTGACCTCCTCTGCACAGAGCTGCTTTAGCAATGTTTATGGGCTTTCTACCATGAACTCCATGCTGCAGGTCCTGTCAGATCAGTTCCTTTGGATGAAGGACACAATTTCTTCTGCTTCAACTATGTGTTGCTGCTAAACCCACCTTCTCTTGACCTTCAGTTCAGAATTCATAGGGTCATTAAATGATGGGAAGCTATTGTGGTCCAATGGCAGCAAAAGCCCCAAACTATACTGTGACTATCATGTTTCACAGTCGGGATGAGGTTCTTATACTGGAATGCAGTGTTCAGTTTTTGCCAGTCATGACGTTTCTCATTTAAACCATAAAGCTCTATTTTTGCCTTATCAGTCCACATAGCATTCTTTCACTGGTCTTTGCTCATCAGGTGGTCTTTAGGAAATTATCAGGAAAAAAACATTCCTCCTGGATAATAGAGGGGCTGCTATGTGTGTGGGCTGCTGAGAGGCAGTCCAAAATCCTGCTTCAAAGCAATTCATATTTAAGCAATTCACAATATTTAAGCTGCAGATGTGTTAATTTATTGATATTCAGTGTAATATTAATATCTATTTTTAATGTATTTCTCTGAGACAATGTGAGTTGCAGGTATGATTGGTGGAAAACATCTGTTCCTAATAGGCATTCATTAGTAAACCTTTATGCACTTCATTTTGTTTTAATAAAGGTTGTTGAGCATA